CAGACTATGTGAATAACAGAAATTCCTCCTTAGCTTTATAATGAAAACAAAAACATATTTATAAAGCTGTTCCAGTTAGTGTAAAACAATTCCTCTGAAAGAAAAAAGTATTTAGAGGTTTTTTGCTGGTTTTAGACTGGCAAACACAGATCTAACCTGCATCAAAATAAGTAGACTATAACCAATGTCTCCCTTATGTATGGAAATACTGTACTAGGTGCACAGCATACATACAGTCCATTAAGCCTGCTTTCCTGAAAGCAAGATTGAAAATGCTGTGATTTGATGACATAACTGGCATGTTTGAGTGACTGGAGGAGTCCAGACTTTGCTGAAGAATTACTAGAGTTAATCTGAGTACAGATAGGCAGGTTTTGAAGTTACTGAGATCCTATTTTACGTGGTTTGGAAACAAACTAATAATGTTTGAGAAATCCTAAGCTACTTCTCTTCTGACTAAGTGTATTCATAAACACACATTTCTTATGTTTTCCTTGATGGTGTCTGATTTCTATTGAACAGGAATAATGCTAAAGAAACCAGCCAGATTGTACAAAAACATGCAGATCTCAGATAAAACACACATTGCTTAGAGAAATATAAAACAAATGATCTTTTCTTTTAAGGAGACATTTTCTCTGGAATTATGTCATGCATCAAATTTATAGCACATCTCTGCTCTTGGGCTCAAATATAATGAAATTGAAAATTGAAGAATGTAGAATCTTGCTGACTTCTAGTTACTTCTACTTGAATCATTTAATCTTGGGTAATTATTTAATCATATCTAAAATGTACAGGAGTAGAATTTCCATCCATTGTCTGAAAACTGATAAACATTAGTTGATTGTCACAGAAGTAAAACAATTGTAAATCATGACTGACAGTGATTTGTTTTGTGTATTAGAAGAAACTGCCACATTGTGATAATGGGAGTGTCTCTGATTTCCAAATACAAAAATTCACAAGTCTACCATACAACTGTGGTATTAAAATCAAAAATCTATTATTTAGAACAAATATTTCATATATGGAAGTTATAAGTGAGCTGAGCAGTTGATTGTTAACTTGCACCTTGGTCAGCCATAAATTCAGGCTACATTACAGCACACGGAAAACATTAGTGCTCAGCATGGCAAAATTGTCAGTTACTGATTTTATCATTCAGCAAGGTAAGTTCAAGTTTTCAGTTCCAGTGTGATTGTACAGGTGCTCAGCTGACTGATCATGAGAGAAGAAAGGTGATCACAGAGGAAGCAAGGTATTGCAGCCAGGATGCTGGGAGATTTGTGCTGGGATGTGATTTATACAGAAAGTCAAAGAGAGTGTCAACTGTCTTTTACAGTTGGTTGATAAGTCTACACTCTAGGCTGGAAAGGAAATGCATTGTCTTTAGAGCAAAGCAAGAAACAGACTGCAGCAGTCTGCAGATCTGGTCAATTATTATTTCTCCTTTATAACTTTTTAAGTGAAGATAAAATTTTATGGATGCAATGAATGGTTGGTTTATTTGCTTGTTTTTAAGATCATCTGTCTGTTCTGTGTTTCTTCACATAGTAAAGAAAAAAACCGTAACTCAAATTTCTCTGCACTTGACAAAATGGAAAATGTTTCGTTAAAACTTTTTATTAAGTTTTCTATGAAATATGCAAAAATGTTTGACTGAGATAGAGAGGGTTTTCACCCTGAAGTCTTTACATGAAAAAAAAATGCCTTGATCAGCCATATTTGAACCAGGATGTGTTTTTTGCAGTCTGTTTTGTTCCAAAAAGGCCACAGCTTATGCCAGTCCTGTTAATGGTACAGAGGAAAGATCTCGAACAACATTACACAGAGGATGAGCTTTAGATGGCAGAGGAAGGAGGACCCAACAACCAAAGCATGGTTACTGTCCCTCTCAAGAGAAAACAGTAATGGTGGGGAATGGAGTTTTCCAGAAGTTATGTCTAGTTTGGGAAGCAGCTGTGATTTAATGGCTGGTTCTGCTAAAGGAAGCTTATCCATTTCTGGTCCTGCTCTGCTAAGCAGTAGAGAAGAGGTCCTCTACCTCTTGCTCCCTACCTTTTCCAACGGTGCAACAGTCATTACTCTTAAAGAGCAACTCGCATACATACCCTGCAGTAAAAGTTACTCCCAGCACCTGTTGTCTGGTGAGAGTTTACAGAAGGCCTATGGTAGCATTTTAATGGCAATTCAAATTAGTAGTGTGTGTCTGCAGTTGCACAAATCAGTGTAATACCCACCTCTTGCTCAGGATATTTCATTATATGTATGTTAAATACATATATTGTCATTCTAAAATTACGTATTATAATATGCAATACATGTATGTGTGTGTGTATGTAAGTTATAAAATCTGTATTTCTAGCCCTTGTGGTTGAAAATAGGAATCAATAATAACGAATGCATGGATTAAGAACTATCTTCAGAAATCAGATCACAGCTGTCTCCCAGTGTTTGTTTCACCATTTTTGATTTTCTGTTGGAGATCCTGGGTTTTGTTTGTTTTTATAAACATTGACAATTGGGCAAGCCAGAAAATCTATGTCAGCACAGGTTGTCATGGTAGATTTGTTCTCAGTATCAAAGGTTTTGCAAATGCAAAACAAACCTCCTGAACATTGCAAAATAGAAAAACGTGTAAAATAGGCTGTTGCTGTTATTTAATACTTGTAACTAATGTGTAAATACTTAGCTCTCATTTCCTTGTCCTGCTCACTGTTTCATCCTTGTGAGTGCTGTCTGATCACAGAAAATTGATCAGTTTTTTACTCACAAAAAAAAAAAATTGCGCAAACAAACAAACAACTTCACGCAGGCAACCTCTTTAAATTTGTATTCTGTGTGATAGAATCCTGATCTTTTTATAGAAGTCAGATTTTTTTCATATTTATTTTCATATTAGATTCCATAGAAATTTAAAGTCACATAATGCTCATTAATAATGTAACATATAAGAATTTGAATCTGGATATATCTGGCATTTAATTTCACATGCACTTAATTTTGTGAAAAAGCCATGTTACTAGTGATAGTAGTAAAAACAGAATAATTACCGGATAACAGCAGGCAGCCATACATGCTACACTGGAAGAAACGTTTGTGCTTAAAATAGATTGTAAATATGAATAATAAATGTAAAGCATTTGTCAGGGTGTTTCTCCCTTTCTTTCTCCCTTTCTTCCTTTTCGCCCTCTTTCTCTCCCCCTTCTCTCTTTCTCTGTACAATTCTAGAATAACAAGTTCTAGAATAACAAATATACCTCACAAAGGTGGTGTACCTTGGAGCTTAATAATGACTCACTAAATTTTTAAGAGAAGGAATAATCTACAGCATGCAGTTTCTGCATAGGTATCATAGGCTGCATAATATCTCTTATTACAGTCACCCTAACTCAGGTGCTTATGATGTGTAAGACCATCTCTCCATTCTGTTGCAATGGTTTTATACTAATGCATTTCGTCAGAAGTCATTTGATTGATTATCAGCATCTTGTGGCACAATAATGGGTTGTTCTACAGTTGCATTAGAATCATTCCCTCTTACTCTTTTTTCTTCATTTCTGAGTATAGGATGGACAGAAATTTCTCTTGTTGCTCCTTCTCCCCTTAGGAGTTCGTTAGAGGTGCTAGGTTATGTTCTAGTTACTGTTACCTGCTCACCTTTCATGGCACCAAACAGAGAGGAGAAGCCTCAGCTGCATCTGTGAGATTTGCTCCTTGGGATTCTGATGCATGAGTGCAGCAAATCCTACTGCGCTAGGTCAGGTTTCTGTCCATCATGCTGCGTGAACTATCTCTTCATCAGCATGGGTGACAGGACAGGATATTTATCTGCATCTCAGCCACTGCAGTGGCCCACATGCATATAAGCATAGACCCTCCTTTTTCGTGCTTTTAAGTGAATGCACCAGCCTGTGAGCCGACATGGCTGTAAGGAACAGGCAAATTTTTGTTATATATAATAGTAACAACAGGCAGGGGGTTGGGACAGGCATCAGTCCCAGCAGCCTGCAGCAGCATCCATCTGCCAGAAACCTCAGGGTGTAGTTTTGCATTACAGCTAAGACAGCCTTTTGTCAGGGTGCTGCAAAAGGCTTTCTCCCTTTTCCTTATTTTGGTTTTGGGATTTTTTTTTAATTGTATTTTTTTATTGTATTGTATTGTAGCCTCAGGGTGAGACTGTTCATCCAATTTCATCCAAAGGAAAACTCTTCTTATGAATCCGCTTATTAATTATTTGCAGAGTGAATTTTCTGCTGGATCAGCCAGATAAACAGACTTGCTGTTGATGGAGCAGGTACCAGGCAAGTGGCCATGCATGCAGCTGAGACTAGTGGCAGTGACGGAGCACTCACTTTCAGATCAATTCAGCCATATTGTGAAACAAATGCAGTCCTAGTCACTTTAACAATGTGGTCTCGAGACAACTTTGGTCCATATAAAGTGATACCACTTCCATCCTGACCATCTTGAATGATATCACTGGCTGCTCGCTCCCAGTCCCTCGTTTCCACTGCCACGAGCACCTTTGCTTTTCTGGTCCTTTCAGTGAGCCAGTTCAGGGCACTAAACCAGCAGGAAAATATTTATATTTTTTATAGTATGCCTCTGTTGATAGAAGAGATGTCAGACATTTGATACATCTCCATTATCCATGAATCCGGACACTCTTCTTTCTTTTGCAGTGTATGACAAGAGAACACATGTAAGTCCGTCTGTCCAAGGTCCCATCTGTAGAAGTAGCCCTTGTCCTGAGTACAGTCTTGTTAAGCATTTGGAAGAGTTTCCTTCTTCAGATTCAAAAAATGCCTGCTATAATGGAAGGATATTAACCAGAATTTAAAAAAGAAGAATTCTGCTTGTGCTCCATTTCTTTCTCTAACCCCTCAACACTTCTTCATTATAATTTTTCAGTGTCTTAAGGATTTGTGTGATTTATTTCCTTTTTTTTTATCCATGTTATAATAATTTCTCCTTTTTTGTCTCTTGTGTTTCAGTTGCGATCGAGCTCAGAGCTTGGCCAGGACATCCTGAATGACTGCCTCGCAATTCAGCCCCTCCAGCCAGCCCCGTCACCGCATGATGCTGCAGATAATACCATGGGACAATCCCCAGGGCCTGCTCACGATATTTACTCAGGTATAGAAAAAGTCAGATAAACAGCCTGCTATATTATTGCTCACTTAAGATTAGGGATAATTTTGCAGAGTAGGATGTACTCTAAAATCTGTATCTATCTCATGAGAAGGATAGAATCTGCAAAGTAATACACAAAGGTAGATTTTGAACAGATTTTTACACATTTTTTGAAGGGAGGCAGGACAAATCATATTTTGTCCATGAAAAGACCTACTGCAACAAAGAGCAATATTTTTGCTCTACAGACATTTGACTTCTGCTAGCAATTCACTTCTACCATTCCTTGTAGACGTCTTGAATTCATTAAGCTGAATTTAAAATCAAAGGAGTATTTTTCCTTTTCCTTATTCATGGATCACATATCAGTTTTTCAATAGATCTGCATTAATAAACTTAAACGCTGCATTATGAGCTCTCATATTATGACTATAAATATGCCAATAAGCACATTTATGCTATAAATGTGATAATCCTATTTTATTGTTTCAGTTAGGTACCTGAGATTTTCTTATTAAAATACCTAACTCTGTCATACCTGGCTAAATGTACAATTGTTCACATTTCAGCTAAATTTGAAACATTTGATGAGTTATGAGTGATAATACATCTCAAAGCTCAAGACAATGATGGACAGGATGTTAACATTTTTAATGTAGTATTTTAGTAGTTGTAAAGACATCTGGTTTTAACTTTCAGGCAGAATGCATTACATATTCTAGCAATTCAACTTTTAATTGAGAACCAGATGTAGGGAGTGAAAGAATTGGCTGAGTGTTATATGCAGTGCTGAAAATGACATTGTATAGAAGTGGCCACTTCAATAAGTAGTTTTATTTTACTGAGAGGCTTGTAAATGTATCAATTCTATGATATATTTTTGTCAAGGCTGTTGTGAGCTACACACTAGTTGGTGGTGATATAGGTTTATATGACAAAAATCATGAAATTTAAAGCTGTGATTGACTGTATCCTAATATATAAAGAAGTTGGTATTACTTGTATGCTGTTAACTTTTAAATGCCTTAGTCTGAGTATAGGCTGTGTGTGGCATCTGTTACTTGAAAGCTAAAGGAGATTTCAGATTTTAAAGGCCTGATTTTGGCCAGGGAACATCTAACGACATGGTGTTGGTTACAGTTGCTTATTTTATATTGTACTTTGAGAGGGAGTTGGATAGTGAGGAATGTTAAGGTTTAAAAAATTATTTACTGGCATTACCCAGTGTAATGTGCAAAACTGAGAGAGAATAAAAGACTCAGCTTTTCCTTTTCCTTTCAAGTCCCGAGATGGGATGGAAGCTAGGTGGGGACAGTGGGGACTAGTGGGGACAGAGACCAAGTTTTCAGAAATTGAGGACATTCACACAGGAGAATTCTGCCGGAATCTGTTGAGCACTCAGCTCTTTTACCAGTCTAGCTTCCAGACTATGATTAAGTGTCAAACTCCAGCTGCTGGGTCAATCCAAACCTAGGCTGACAGCAGCTTAAACAAACTGCTGCCCCTTGACTCGTCAGGATCCAAAGCCGAGTAAAGCTATTGCCTCCGGCCAGCCCTTAGCTGGCAATTGTCTGCAGTCATGATGTCCCACAGACAGCTTCTGAGACTGTGGCATTACTTCTTGTAATCTCATTCATGCCTTGCCTTCCAATACTTGGGGTTTACAGCACTACTAAGGACATTCTTTGATATAATAATTCATTTTGGTTTTTTCTTACTTGGCACTACTTCCTATTGTGCAGCAATTTTTATAGTATTAATCAACATACTTTTATCAGCATTAATTTCTCTGTAATAAACTGCTTTCCTTTACATGTGTCCACAGCTACCTGTAACTTGGCAAATTTCTCATAGTTTTTTTTGCTTGTGTTGTTTCACATCAATTAACTGAGAGTATTATGTCAGGTATAGATGAATCCATGTCACTTCATTTTGACAACCAGCCAATCCAGTTGAAATGAATTGTTTCATTAACTACTCATCAGGGCTGCAACACTTGGAGACAGGCTTATTTATCTCCATAATGTGATTTTGTCTTCTGCTCTACTTCTTAATGCATGATGGCTTCTTAAGTTCAATGAACACTGGAGTCTTCAGATCTACAGATGAGCTGGGCAGGCTTGTCGTGGTTTAACCCCAGCCAGCAACTAAACCCCACCCAGCCGCTCGCTCACTCCCCCAACCTCCAGCGGGATGGGGGAGAGAATCGGGAGAGTAAAAGTAAGAAAACTCATGGGTTGAGATAAGAACAGTTTAATAAATGAAATAAAGGAGGAGAAGAAGAAGAATAAGAATGACAAAATATACAAAATGAGTGATCCACGATGCAATTGCTCACCACCCGAGCAGCCAGCGCTGCTGCCTGGTCAACTCCCCCCCAGCTTATATACTGAGCGTGACATCATACAGTACAGAATACCCCGTTTGCCAGTTTGGATTAGCTGTCCTGGCTATGCTCCTTCCCAGCTTCTTGTGCAACTGGCAGCGCTTGGGAAGCTGCGAAGTCCTTGACCAGTGTAAAAACTAATTACCTGCACGTGGCAGGGTGTGGGAGGCCGAAAAGAGAAACAAAAAGTCCCCGGTGCAAGCACCACCCAGCACACCCAGCAACAACCAAAGCATCAGTAGGCCATCAACGCCCCTCTCATACCAAACCCAAAACACAGCACACCCCCCAAGCTACTGGGAAGAAAGTTAACTCTGTCCCAGGCGGAACCAGGACAGGATCAAGGCAACATAGGCAGCGTGTTTTACATTTGCTGGAATTACCACTTACGGCTCAACACAGCACATGCCCGCATACTCCTGGCCACGAAATCCTGTAGGGAAGTATGGGCTCCCTAGGGAAAGTGAGAGGGGAGAATATATGGAGGTGATGCTCCCGAGTGCAAAAAGCATTTCAGATTTTTCCTTCTGTGCACTAGTAAATCACTTGTTCACAAAAACCACATAAATATTCCTTAGAGAAATGGAAGGTTAAATATAGTAATTAAAAGAAACACTCTTACAAATGTATGTATGTAATTTTAATTGACTGAGCTACAAAATGAAACCTTCACACTGTCTTATTCTATATGGAAAGAATTTTTAGCCCTACTCCAAATTCATGCTGGCAGTGGTAAAAGGAGAGATATTTTGGGGGCAGAAATAGATTTACAGAGTGCTGATTTGACAGTAATAAATCCAAGATAGTAAATTATACCATTGTTGGTAATTTGCAAAGGAGAGGGTCATTCTTCTGCATTTAAAAAATGTTCCATGAAATTACAGGTTTCAGGCTCCATTAAAAAAAAAAGAAATTTTTTTTAGGCTTTGGATTCTATAACTTCTTAAATGCTACTTTTCTGTCTTTTTTTTTTAAAGGAACCTTATTCAGAATCAGTTTTTTCTCTTCCAACCATCCAATTTGTTCCTATGCATTATGAGAATGCATGTGAATTTAGCTTCTCACAGAGAAGCCTTTGCAGAGATATTCTCATGGAGAATTCTTATGTGTTGATAAATTGATTTGTGATGAGACTCCAGAAATGAAAACATGGCTCTTCCCCCTCTGTGGCTGAAACTTTGTGAGTGTAACCCAATCCAAGGTTCATATTCAGGACTAACAGGCTATATCCATCTTGTAAATCGTGGTGTAGCTTAAGCTTTTTAAGGGGCACGGAGGAACAGCATCAACAATTCTTTTTTGTTGTTCTTCTGTTTTGTTTTTTTTTCCCAGAATATCTGAATCTTTTAAAAATTACTTTAAGTGTGTTAGTTTATCTTGTATTGATAGAGAGAAAAAGCTTGGTTTAGGAAGCCTTTTTGTTAAGTATTACTTAATTCTGCATCTTTCTGTGTGGACCTACGTGGTGGTGGTATATTGGAGTCAGTGAGCATGCTGGTTGCCATGTACATTTGTTTAGTTTCATACCATTCAAATAAGGTGTTTAATGGGATCAGGCACTGGAAAGGCATTCCTTTGTGTAGATATTTCCTGCCAGCACTTTGAGCAAGCAACTCACATTTACAGCTAAACCACTAGAAAAGCTTGCCGCACACACAGCTCCCAAGAAAAAGTGGTCAAGTTATCTAGCAATTTCTTAAATAGTGTCCAAACTTTTCTGTCAGTCTCTTAAGACTAGCTCTACTAGGGAAATGACCTGTCACTGACAATATTTGTTGATTGCCATAAGTCTGTAGACTGCCGATGGCTGACAAGGTTTCCCTTCAACTAGTACTTGCAAGGTTCAGGTAGTAGCTTGGACCAATGCCATGTCTACACTAGGAAGTTTTAATAGTAGCATTTCCACTGGGATGCAGCTGCCAGCATTGTGATTTCATTTCATTGGATGCCTGCAGAGGTGCTTTTGTCAGCACAGTACCTCTATGCAGCAAGAAGCTGCACTGACAAAAGATGTGTTGCGCTGCCCGCAGGTGTTATATGGTCTCCCACACCATCATTCATGGTGTCGCTCTTGGAGGCTTCATTACAAGGCACTGTGGGAGCCCAGGTATGCTCTTCTGTCATCCTGTGATCATTTAACATACCCTGTGTACAGGAGTATGTTTTTGCAGCTAATATGTATGCTTTTTCGTCCTTAAATATCCTACCTGCCCCTCTAGTGCCTGCCATAGTTAGCTCTTACTTTACACTGTGTACTGTCTCTTCATCAAAAACAGAAAAAAAGTACGGAGAAATTGCTGGGAAACCTAGCCAAAAGGTACTACAGTAGCAGATGCTGCTACGATGGTGAATATTGCAGTGGGCTTTAGGTTGCTCTCGTTCAGAGAAAGGACAGATGGTTGCCCATGCCTGGCTGCAGATAACCTTTTCCCAAGGACAGAGTTGCCAGGTCTTGGGCAGTGCTGTGGGAAGAACCTGTGCTACCACTGCAGCCTGGACCAGCTAGAAATGTGCAAGCACAACTTAGAAAATACTTGCCTGAAATCCTTATTATGGTTGTGGCAGAGAACAGCTATGACAGGGAAGAACAACTCTTGCTACCTTCTGCTGGAAACGAAGTCATAGTCCAGCCTTTTTACTCCTCATCAACCACAGCTTTGAAGAAATTTGTTTTAAACTCAAAGAGTACTGGGAAACTAGGTCATTGTATTTTCGTACAGATTTTAATGTTTTTTCATGGAAGAATGCAAGTTACCCTATTTTTGCAAGGAATAATTTAAATAGTTTCTGTTTTTATTTAGATAATTGGGGTTCTCCTGTGCAATGTACTGATTGGTTAAATATTCCCTCTGCTGCTTCTGCCAGAATGTGCATTTGGTCGTTTTTCAGTATTTTCTTCTGTGCTGCATGTAAGCATAAAATAATAAATTCAAAAGGCCATTCCTTTGTTTTCCCCTCTGCATTCGTCTTGCTACTCTGAGAGATGGATGTGGCGAGAGTGATTTTTGGGGTGTATGAGCAAAGTGAAAAAACAAAAAAACTACCTTCCCCTGTCCTTGTGGGGTTATTCCTCAGCCCTTTCTTAGTGAGTTACTCTGCTGGCTTAAGTGATGTTTCATCTCCCTGTGGGATCTGCATCCTTCCTACCTCTCTTAAGGTTTGGGATGCCTTCTACTATCAGATGTCAGTTGTCATTTGCGTTGTGATTAGGAGGCTCTGGTCCATATAAGAATTCTCAAACAGCAGAGGCTAGTGCCAAGGGCAGCCGCAGGCGTTTTTGTTGGTCCTCCTGGCCATGTGGTAGGGCAGCCTCCACTCCTCCAGCTTTGCCCACCAGTGTGGCTCATGCAAACTTTCCCTAAACTTTGACATTACCTTTGCAGCATCTATATTAGATGTTTTTATTTACAAAGTGGTTTCCTCTCTGTCATCTTGTACTGTCTGTCATCTCCACCAGCTGAAAGATGTCCAGGACTGCTCTTTAATGATGCTACAGCATAATTAAACTCCTGAGCCTTTCCTTAACTCTGCCTTCTCCTGGTGAATATCTAGTGTGTCACAAAGGCTGGCTTGTGAGTATGAATAGAGGCTTTCCAGAAATAGGCTGAGGACTTGCGAGATGAGGTGGACTTTTCACCCTTTTGATCTTGGGTAGCAACATTCAAAATTGTCACCTGTGAAATAGTTTTCTTGAAGACGGATCTGTGGTGGGGTTACTCCTAAAGTAGTGTTTGTTTTGCTAGGACTGCAGCATCCATGCAGGTATTTTAGCTGAGAAAGGTCTTTTACCAGTGACAGTGCCCTTTGAGGAACTGGTTTAAATTCTAGGATTTTATCAATAATTTTGAATCATTAGCTACAACGTATTCACTAAGTAAGTTTTATAGGTAGAATTTTATTCTGTAAACTAGGCCTAAACAATACTTTTTTATAAAGACACTGGAATATATGACAGCCAAACAGTGAGCCATCATTTTCATCTTGTAGACAGCCTATCTAATTCGTTCTCAGGGTTCATAAAATATTTAAGAGCATGTATTCAGCTGCCATTCAACATCGACATAAGCTACCTGAAACAGATGAAAGTAAAAATAATTGAGTAACTGGATTTTCAGAGGGATTTGGTAATCAGTGTCTTATCTTTTGATTGCGTGATTTAAAGAATTTCTAAAAATGAGGTTACAGGATTTGGGGTCTACTAATTAGGATATTCAGAGGGAGTCCTGTATTGCTTTTTGTTTAATCATCCAGAAGCTTTCCCTATTTGGAATGTGTACAAGAGCAACCTCATAGAAAATTATGAAACTGTTAATGCTAGTTTAAAATTTTTGTATGCATTACTGGGGAGTCTGGGGGCAATATTTGAGTTTGGGTTGACCTCTTCAAGAAATTTGGGATTTTTACAGCTAAGGGGAAAATGTAGAAAGTATTTCACTATTTACAAAACTGTGCTTTCTGTTCACTAGCTCTAAAAATACATATCTTAGGAAGTATTTGTCACCTCTTCTACAACAGGAAGCTATAGAAGATTTGCAGCATTATTCAGACAAAATTCCCAAGACAAGAAGCACAGCTATGTCATGGCTGGTTTTATGAAAATGTCATTTGGGAGCAGCAAAGATTATTTAGTTATTTTTTCTGTAGTTTTTTCCTTCCCTTTGGACAGGAAACAATGCTTGAGAAAAACAAGTTAGTTGCTAAGAATTGCTTTAGAGAAGGTGTTATCCGCTGTTAGTATCTGGTCAGTTATCAATGCTATCGCCTGCCTGATGAGGGTTATTTCTCTCCTTTTGCTTTCAGCAGCTGTGTTCCCCAGCACACAGACAAGTCGAAGTGGAGCAGCAGCTGGGGCAGTGTCCTTGTCCCACCCCAGCAGCCACCCCTCCCCAGGACGTAATGTACAGGGTAGTCCTCTCCATCCTCCCCCCCAGTTACCTCTTCTCTCAGCTGCGGACTCAGAGAGGTAAGACCAGCCCCTGCTTTCCCCACGCTGAGCCTGGGGCAGGGCTGCCTTCAGAGCTGCCGGGAAGGGTAGAAACTGAATTGTCAGTGTGCAGAGAGTCGCTGGTGGCAGCCCCTGGGTAACAATTGTGCTGGGTATGGGTTTACCAGGGGAAGGAGAAGTGAAAGGGATGCTGTTATCCCAGCCTGGGCAGGGAGGCTTTCCATCCATCTCCATTTCAGGTACTTCCTCCAATCCCCTCTTGATCTCCACCAATGGCCTGAGCAAGTAAAGTCATAGTGGCTGGGGGACTAAACTTCAGAGGACCCCCGCCCTACCTTACAGAAAGG